AAAATCTTTCCCCTACAAAAAACACAATTGGTCCGTGACAATCCTCTTCCCCTAGAAACAGCCAACCACATAGGACTCAGTTTGTTCCTCCTCTTCATTGAGTTTATACCTGTGATACGCAGTCCTAGGCACTCCTGGATGAATTGTAGCCAAAGAGAAAGCTTTGGTGCAGAGGTGCTCAACCTCTATCTCTCAGGCCAAATATGGCTTGTGAAGCCGTGTTATTCAGCCCATGGGGCTCCTCGTGGATTGGGAAATTTAGTGGCAGGGGAGCAGTGACAAGTCATACTGCTGCCTTTCCCCCACTGCCAAATTTTCAATTCACTGATGCTGGACCACACCTCCTTTCCGAGCATGGCTGTATTGGGCTTGGGCCACATCCCACTTCCCCAGCGCACAGCCAGATCTGGCCTGCGGATGCTCTGAGCGCCGTCCGTCTGCTACAAAGAGGAAAAAAGTCGGGCACCACTGTTCTGGTGCATTAGTTTAATTGGCACCGTGGCTGAGAGAAGAGACTTGTATTAGTCACAAGTGCAGGAATGACAGACCTGTAGCGTGCAGGGAACCAAAATGCCTGGCATAACATCTCTTCGCCAAGAGTTGCAGGGGGATAAGGTGAGGAGCCGCTTGTAGTCTTAGCATTGCTGTTTGCATTCATTTAGTCAAGAGTCCTATTCGCTGCAGGCCCAGACCCATGTTTGCTCCTCAAAGAGCAGAAAAGGGACTCATCTGGGCAGGGGTCTCCAGATATGCCTCCCTTTGCTTCAGTCACACAGCCTCAGAGGTTCATGGTCCTGTTCAGACAGCACCAACCCAGGGCACAGGAAAGGGTACAGCATGCCTTGAAAGCAGCCCTGGAGCAGGCAGATCTTAGCCATGCTATGGGCATCATAAAACCCAACCCTACCACACTCATAATCCAGGCAAATGCCCACCCTCCTGGGTCTGGTGTTAAGGGTCAGGCGGTCTGGGGGTGAGGAGAGGGCATAGTAACGGTCACCTGGCAGCTTCCGAAGGGCCCAGTAGCCATTTTCTGGGATCAGCTCTTCTGTCGCCTGGCGGTTGACTCTGTAGCTGGCTACCCCGACTACCCAGTTGCTTTTGTTCCCAACACTCACCTCCCAGTAGTGCCTGCCCAAGCAGAAGCCTTGGGAGCAGAGTACATACAGACAGGGCTGGAAGCGCTGGGGATCCTTGGGAATGGCGTGGGAGCGGGGTCCCAGCTTCACTGCTTTCAAGTCTTCAGAAAGATCCAGATGGGCGTGAGCTGTGCGTGGATCCAGGGTGAGGCTCTCCAGCACAGACTGCATAGCGTGTCCCAGCATCCTCCTGCAGACAGCATACATCAGAGGAGGGCTGCAAAGGCCTGCTGGCTTGCTGAGACTCAGCTCCTCTGTGTGCTCCTTCAGCTCTGCCTTGAACTGGTCTACTTGGCTCCCTGCCGCATCTGCAAGGTGTTCATCATACTCTCTCACCTGGCCCAGGTAATCCACTATTTCCAAAACATCGGCTGCTCTCTCAGTGATCTTCTTCAGCTTGTTCTCCAGACCTCCAACTACCTGCTCTTCCTCTTGGCTAATCTTGGCCATCACTGACTGCTCCTCAGCATAGAGGATGTTGTGCATCTCCTTGAACTGCCCCATGACTTTCTCTCGGAGGGACTCCAGGCTCATCTGAACAGCCTGGATCCCCTCCTTGTAGTGACAACAAAGCTTTTCTGCCTCTTGGTTAGCCTCCAAGAACTCAGAGACCACGTCTTCCACTCTCTTGCCACCACCTTGCTCCCCGGGGTCCGTCTTCGAAGCCTCCATGGAGAAGCTTCCTGCCTTCTCTCTGTCTCTTCAGCTCCTGCAGTGGGAGGTTAGCAATCCCGCCTCTACATTTGATGATATCACTTCTTGCCTTACTGTCTCCAGGTGCCTCTATAGCTGGATCTGCCTACACCCCAGCAGGGCCCTTCCTCCTTGATAAATAACTACTGGTATTTGTGCTGCACTGGAACCAGCCCACAGCAAAGCCGAGCCCTGCTGCTGGCTTCAAGACAAGTTCCAGTTTCCTAAGTCTTGGCTATGAGTTACTTTTGGTTTCCCTGAAAGCAATGGGAGGGTCCTGCATTCAATTTTTCCTGACACCAGCTAGGGGATTCCAGAGGCCAGAGTCCTCTTGTTATCTGCAGACCAAATGCAGTGTCCATTGTGCCAAAAGTTTAGGGCCCTCCCCTAGGAGGGGCTCAGATATCAGGGCAGTAGTCTGAATCAGGGGTGCCCAAACTTTTAGCCCCATGGGCTGGATGGGTGGTACCAGGTCCATCCACAGGCTGGATCTAGTCATGGGCCTCGGTACACAGGGCCAGCATGGAGGGGAGGGTTGCAGCCTGACTCTGATGGGGGCAGGGAGAAGCCTGGTCCCTATCCAGACAGGGGGAAAAGGGTGGAGATGGGAGCGGAGCAGCCCTGATTTGGACACTTGTGGTGGGGAAGGAGCAGAGTAGCCCAGATCTAGGTATATGGGGGATGGGGAGCAGTCCAGCCTGATCCAGATGTGTGGGGCATGATTGGACAGGGAGCAGCCCGGCCCAATCAGACGCCTGTGTTGCAGGCCCAGCTCTGATTCTGCTGTGTGGCAATGGCCCAGGTACAGCTGGATCCGGAGCTTCCACTGCTTCCCTGCTGCCAAATTTTCTGACCTCTGCAGCTGGATGCCATGGCTCTGCAGGCTGCGTTTGGCTTGTGGGCCAGAGGGTGAGCGCTCCTGGTCTAAATCAGTGATTCTCACCCATGGTGCTGGGCCACTCTGGAGTACTGCCAGATCCTTTGAAAGGTACAGGGAGATGTGAAGAGCTAAGTGAGGGATGAGGAGATAAGCAGATAAAGCACAAGCTCAGTCTACTCCTGCGTGGCCAGCCCCTCCACAAGGAGGGAAGCACTGCATTATATAAATTAGTTTTGAAATTGGATGCCACTCAATTCACAAACGCTATGGAGGCGTGCCTCAAGTCAAATTGCGGGTGCCTCGAGTCCAATGAATGGTGCCTGGAGACCAAAAAGGTTGAGAACCACTGATCTAAATACACAGAGAGCTGAGCAGAGAGGAGGACCAGTTCAGAGCCCCAGTTGCCCCTGGGGAAAAGGCGGGCATCATGAAGGCACCTAACAATTGTGGAGGACATTTTTGGACCTTCATCTCAGAGCTCAGACTACTGGCTGGCCACCTGCTGGCCCTTAACAGCCTAGGTGGCAGCTGGATGGGTGCAAGACATGTCCCAGCCCCTGGACCCTTCAGACCCTCCAGGTGAACACTTCTGGGGCCTGAAGGTCCCACAAGGATCCCTGTCACTTCTAGTGAGGCTGGGCCCATGGTTTCTGTTGTCCCATAGCCTGGCATAGTCATTTACACCTCTAGAAAAATCATGGTTGTTCTCAGACATGCCACCAGGGGGCAGCAGCACTCCCCTCCCAAAATGATACCATGGGATAGGTAGGCCTGGCCCTCACCCCCATATCTGCTGCCTAGCGGGATCCACCTGCCCGGCTGCACTGGTGCAGAGAGCGCTGGCAAGGAAGGGCAGGTTGGGTCTTGGCAAAGGGATGGGCTGTGCTATGAGCTTCCTTGGCATTTCACCCTTGCTTCTGGCCACCAGGGTGAAACCAGCCCATCATGAGACCCCAATGGGCTGGACCATGAATGGATCGTAGCCAGGGTTCAGCACTATGGGTTGACATATCTCGTGCCAAAGCAAGGACTTTAGGCTTTCTCAGGCCTTGCCCCATCAAAGCAGTTGAGAATCTGCCAGGTCACCACTATTTCCTTAAAGGGCTGCTGTGGTGGTGGGAGGGGAGGGCTCATTCCCCCCCAGAAAGAGGGGCAGGGCAGGGGTGGGGAGCATCTGACTGGAATGCAGCTGCCTTGGATATAAAAGAAAGCACCACTCAGCCCCCAGATGAGGTCTAGGGAACAGCTTGAATGGAAGCCAAGCTCCCCTTGTTAAAAGTTTATCACCAGCAGGTTTGGAAATTGGGGCACCATTAACACTTTCCCTGCTGCACAATGCCCTGGGAGCTCTCTGGCAGTACCTTTCAGCTGCCGGTTTTAATTCCCAGGAGGCCTCTGGGTGGGATGGGAACGAACAATCAGACCACTGGATTGCTTGGAAGCCCGACTTCCCATCTGCTTGAGACCACAGTGGCATCTTCCCCACCGCCCCAAGGGGGCCGAGAGATCAGGAAGGGAGTGGAGCCCTCTACTGCCCATGTGTCACTTCCAACCCATGGCTGGGTGCAGGTTTTCCTGCCAGTGAGGGAGACCTGAGTGCCTCCATCCTGCCTGGCTCCCTCCCTCCCCGGGCAGACAGAAATAGCTCAGAACATGGCTTGGCACTGGGTGGAGCTGACGTCACCCAGGGTCCGGGGGTAAGAGCCATTCTGTATGCCAGCACACAGGGATCCCAGCAAGTGGCCTCCCCCTTTGCTCAGAGCACTAGGTGGGTCAGGGCTGGGTGGGGAACCTG